TGGGAGAAGCACCAGTGGAAGGAGCACCCTGAGGCCTTGAGCCTCACTTCGTCCTGGTTTCCCGAGGTCGCATGGTCATCGAACATTGAAAGCCTTTTCAAGGAAATGACAACCGCTGTCAAGCGGTCGGGCCAGTCCGATGTGGGCAGCCTGGCGAACCTCATGGCTGTGGCCATCCGAGGGCTTCATCGTCGATTGTGCATCGGCGAGGACACTCCTACGCCTTTGAGCCTTGAGAAAGGGGATTGGTCCGGAGCTCAAGCTTCTTTCCTCCGGCCGAAGATCTTCAATCCCACGTCAGCCGCCCCCTGCTACTGGGGTGGGAAAGAGTGAATTTTGATATCCGTTGTTCTCTCTCTCTCTCTCGCACGATGTTGGCTTTGCTATCTTTTGCTTCTTTAGGATGTAGGGAACCGGGAACACGTTCTCGATTGCAAGGCCAGAACATTTGCTTCGACAGCATTTGCAAGCCCTTCCCGTCGACCTCCGCTTTTCATCACAACCACCACTCGCTCAACTTCATGTCTGGTTTGATGCTTGCAGATTCGTTTCTCAGCTGAAATGGACAAACAAACAGGGGTAGAGAAACACAAGCCCAACAGTGACAAGACGCCACGCTCTGCTTCATATTATGTCGCCAAGGATGGGGCGAGATCCCGCTGCGGAAATGCCGCATTTCTGGGTGCCCGAGACCATCTTCGCAGGAATGCTTTTCAAGCGCGGTGATGGCTACTTCTTGTCCTTGGGGCGAACACCGGCGATCCTCAATGCTCTTGGGCTTTGATTGAATGAAGACGACAGGCAGAGCCGCCATTCTCATTTCACGTCGCTCCTCGTATCCTTAGGCCCTACCCATCACAAGAATCTGAGGCTTTGCAGCTCAAGGAGTTGCCTTGGGCCTTTACCGGTCCTTTGCCTGCAGAGGAGAAGGATGAGACCCGAATCCCGGCAAACGAAGTGATTGCTGATGATGTGCTGTCAGCGAATGAGAGCAGCCCTGCCCTCACTCTCGACATTGGAAGGTGGGGTTGGGTTGCATGATTCCTGGGTAATGTAATCGCACCCAACATGGGTTGCAGGCATCTGGTCTGCAAGCTGCTTGTGAAGGCTGACGAGGCCTTTCATTTATTAAAGTCGCATCTTGATGGGGGTTTCGGCTTTTCTGAAAGCCTCCACCAACAGTATGCCTTCCAGGTGCGATTTTACGACTACACCATCCACGTGAGTGACCAGATCATGGCAGAGAAGACTGGCTCATGCCTCGTCTTGCGGCGGGGCACGAAGTCCTTTTCGTTGATGCCGTTTCTGGTGGAGAAGGGATTCATCCTGAAGCTTACGGTTGCGAACCTGATGGACTTCTTTGCTTCTTGTGGCATCCGAATGCCAAAGAACACCACGAAGGCGGCCCGCATCAGACGACTCCTTCAAATGGACTGCATCACTCAGGAATGCAGTCCGGACAAGATCAGAGCGATCTTGGAAGTGCTTGACAAGCAGGAGGAGAAGAGAAGAAAGAAAGGAGAGAAGCCGAACGAGCCAAGCGATGAGGCCCTAAACCGTGAAAACCGTGGGTTCTTAACTTGTTTGCTTTTTCCGAACGCATAACGGGAAAGCCACAACACCAGGCGGAGATCCACTGGGAGGAGCTGGAAGAAGATGCAGCTGCGGTGGCTTGCAGAGAGCTTCTGGTTGGAATGAGTGATGGCGAAGATGACGACGCCTCTACACCGCAGTCTTGCTGGCACTCGCTCTCTCTCTCTCTCGCTCTCTTTCTCTCGCTCTCTCTTTCTGGCTCTCTTTCTCTGTTCTCCTAGCCACCGCTTTGTTTTCAGTGGATTTCGAAACATCCGAGGTGCCACCGGGGGGTGAGGGCGATGATGTCATTTCGATTGCTCCGAAATCACCGGCAGCGACGATTGCAAGGCCTTCCAGGGCTGCCCTTTCGACTACGACGTCGATCCCGGCAGAGCTGCTACGCGAGATGCCACTTCCCGATGGCACATCGGCTCATATGATTACCCACAAAGACCGAACACTTCCTCACTTTCAAGGCCGTCTACTGAGCGGCGACATGTACGATGGAAAGAGACTTGCTTGCAATAGGTCATTCAATCAATTCGCAACAAGCAGATATGGATTGCTTCATGTAACCTGGTCCGAGGAACAGCTGTGCGGCCAGCTTTAATGCTGACCTCCCTCCACGTGGTCACGACAAGAAGAAGAAATCGCTCAAGTCGATTCCGGCGGGCAGACGGAACAGAGATCAGGCCTTCTTTATAGTCTGGACTTGGTTAAACCAAGCTACTTCTCAGTCCCGTGCAAAGCCGGCCAAGCGCAAGCGGGGCGAGGCTTAGGGGTGATGTTTCCCGGAATCCTAATAATAACTTCTCTAGCCCTCTAGGCGATTTGAGAATAGCTCATAAAAGCACTGAAGTTTCATGCGGGTCAACCTGCAATCCGGCGAAGCATCAAGGGGATCGCTGTCACCAGCAACCAGCTCTGGGGAAAAAAAGACGACCGAGCGAGCACCCAAACCCGTTAGAAGCACCCAGGGCGAGCGAGCATGGCAACCGCAATCTCTGATATAAGGACCCCAAAATAGGGGACCCTAAT